CGTTCACAAATGTATGCGTAGGAATATATTTTGTTGCTACTAATACAACAAACCCTGGTGCCAAGATGCCCGGGCAAACACATAAAGTACGACTAAGTGTGTGGAACCATCCTGGGCTGCTGGGGGATGTCTTTCCATATGCTGTGAATATATGTTGTTCTCATTGTTTAATAAATAAGCTGCTTTGGCCTATGGCAAGGCAGCTTAGAGGCAGGCAGGAAGTCCAAGAAGAGAGACAGGAAGGAGAAAGATGGAGTCTATGTTTACTTGGGTCCAAGCATCTGCAGGATTATGGGTGAGAGAGATTTGTCTGGACTGCAAGGGGTCAGGCAGGCCCGGAGAAACTTCTGGCTACATTTGGCTGCCCAATGTGGAGCAAGGAGTTTGCACCCCAAACCTGAGAGAATTGAAAAAAGGGTTCTAAAATGGAGCCAAGAGCAGCTTCCTAGTTGTGTGTCTCAGGCAAGTAGTGGGCTACAGTATGGCGGGTTCCCACTGCCGTGCACAGAGGTGTCTCCAAGCCATACAGCACACTGCGTGGTGGACTTAGCCTTTGCTAGTACAGACAAAACAAAACAAAACAAACAAACAAACAAAAAAGGTTTCTGGGCTACATGCTCTTTGATAGAGGCATAGACCTATCGCCTCCCAGAGTCAGTGGAGAGCATGGCTCCCAGAGCTGGTGGTGAATTACCGCCACCATGTTGGGAACCTGAAGTGGGCAGAGTCAGCAGCCAAGGCTGCTGGTTCAGTCCTGGCCATGCTGCATTTTAAAGCAACAGAATCACAAAAAGACAGATTCAAATGGAATAAACCTCCAAACGCTTTACATTATATGTAAAAATGTACACAGGCTTGGAAGAGAGAGGAAAAGAGGGTAGACAGTTATATACAGAAGTAGATAATTTTAAAAAATAAAGTCTTTTAAGAGATAGTAAAAGTAATATAAAAATAAGCCACATAAGATAGAAATCACACAAAGAATTTGGATACTGCATAGTATTATACTGTTTTTGAGATTTTTAACTGGAGAGAAACATTTGATTGTAAAAGCTGCTGAGTTAAACCAATATGTATATTTTAAAGGTATCTTAACTTCAAAATGTATGTCTAAGAATAGATTGCTTTGGAAAAGAGGTTCTGCTTTTGTTTCCACAGAAGATGAGAAGCTGTGGATTGCATCCGGGCTAATATGGCTTGATCAGCCAAGACCCTCTGAAAGGTCTCCAATGACACCATGGCCTAGATGACCCAACATCCAGAATCAGCTTCAAAGCAACTGGCTGACACCATCTATCCTCACAGACTACAGGCAAGATTTAACTATAATTCTTAATTTTCTCAAGATCCCCATAAGATGGCTAGTGCCCCCAACAGTAGTGTGAAAAGCTGTGCCCAAATTCCCAAAATATTGTTTATAAATGTTTATTTTTATTTAAAAGGGGTTAATTATAAATGCAATCTCTTTCTAAGAAAGAAAAGGGGATAGTATAGATATGATAGGATAAAAGGGTAGATTATTGAATCTACTTTTAAAGAACAACAACTTGTTGCTATGGATTTTAGTTTATTGATACAAATTTAAAGTTAATTTTGTTATACTGTATGTATATTTCTACTCTTGTTTAAGGTATTATGCTTGTATAGCTCATTTAAAATTGTAGTATATAATTAAGAAAGAGATTAATATTTAGTCATCTATGATAATCAAATTTATAGTCATAATAATTAAATTTTTTAGATATAGAAAGATACACTTCAATTAGGTAGGTAATCTTCAAACACTTCAAAGACCTCCAGAATATGACATTTAAAATGTTTTAAAAACTTAGATTTTTCTGGACAATGAGACATGTCTGCTCTTGGCAGTACCTATTTACTTCAAAGAAGATGATGGGTATCAAAAAAAAAAAAAACTCCTTATGCAGTTTGCTTTCTTTATTGCAAAAGTTAGCCATTTGGTCAAGAAACTATTCTTGCCTGGACTGCTTGACATAATGTTCTATCGACTGGATATGCAGGACCCATGGAAAAATGAACACTAAATTTAGCCAAAACAAGGCAAGATCAGGTTTCTGCTTCATTGAGGAGACTGCCAGAAAATCTGTAGGACACAGGGAGAAGCAACTAAGAAACTCTAGGCCTATAGGCTGAAGATGGATGCCCCAATGTTGCAAAGGAACTTTGGGTGACTGTCCAGGCAGCCAGCTGTCTCTGTTACTCTAGATTCTTGGAAGTTGCTTACAATGCACTTCCTATTTACTTAGGTAATATATCCTTCTGGGATCTTTGATAGAGTTGAAGACTAGATAATTATCATTATAGTTTTCCTTAGTCATGATGAAAGATAATTAGATATGAAACCTTAGACTCACAAATATAGGATAGATAAAATATTTTCTTTAATTTTGCCAAGTAGAAATAGACTAGATATTGTAACTGTAATTCTTATTTGATAACTATTCTATTATATATAATTTTACTATATTAAAGCTAAAACCTTCCTTTTCTATTAGATAGAAAAGGGGAAATGATGGTGGATGTTTTTCTGTAAGCTGTGAATATGTGTTGTTCCCATTGGTTAATAAATAATCTGCTTTGGCCTATGGCAAGGCAGCTTAGAGGCAGGCAGGAAATCCAAGAAGAGAAACAGGAAGGAGAAAGACAGAGTCTAGAGAGACACCAGCAATGCCAGGAGAAGCAAGATGTAAAAGTACCAGTAAGCCATGGCTACATGGCAACTTATAGGTAAATAGAAATGGATTAAGTTACAAGAGCTAGCTAGCAAGAAGCCATAGGCCATACAGTTTGTAAGTAATATTAAGCCTCTGAGTGATTGATTATTTTATAAGCGGCTAGGGGGCTGTGGGACCGGGTGGGACGAGAGAAACTGTCTGACTACAGTTGGCACCTTGAAGGGCTCCATACCTGTCATAAAATGATTGAATGAAGCCTTGGGCTTGGGAATAAATCTACAGGAAAACTTAGTGTGGCTACTGGCGAAGTCTGATAGCTGTTACAAATGGGAAATGAATCATCAGTGAGATACATTTCTGGATAAGCCAAATCGCCATTAGATCAGCAACAAATACAGAGTAGTTTTTGTTTTCTTCCTGGTTTTTGAGCTATCCTGACCCACTATTGCTTTAAATCTTCATGAAGTAAACGATGTAGGCAGTCTACCTGCAGCCACGAGAGGAAGGGTGGCCGGACACTGCAGTGATGTGTGTCCTTCCTACCACAATTCATGATAACAGGCACTACTTCTGAGAGTGGCTTTGTCGGGTGTCCTGTTAATCACAGATTTCCCAGAGGGAGCTCTGCTGTGCAATGTCACTGACTTCATGGTTAGTAAATGCCATGTTTCACTGGATGGTGGAAGAGTGCAGGAAAGATAGAGAATGGGGTGACATAACTGGGTTTCCCTTTTAGTTTGGAGTCAACTCATTCTTAATGACTTGCATACAAGGCTGGTGCCTAGTCATATGTCGCAGGGAAAGGAGGTTCGATTTCCTCGGGGATTCCAGATAGCTCTCTGTTTGACATCTAACTGGAACCACCCTAGTCAATCCCTAAATGTAAGGGCTGGAGAGGAGAGGAGCCATGCTAAGAAAGATGCTGTCTGTCCTTCAGTTACTTGATTGGTGGGAGGGGCACATCAGAAGAGTTGGAGAAGGGAGAGTCTTACTAAGCAGAACTTGAGTGGGTAAGAGAAATAGTCTTAAAAGCAACCTGAAAGAAAGAGAAATGCCCAATAAGCATAGAGCTCTTGGGCTCTAGAACAGAAAGCTGAAAATACATTTAGACTTCTAATACAGAAAAAGGCAGAATTAGTCTACATATCTTTATCTTATCAACCAATATTTTTCTTGAATATCAGCTGCTTGATGTTTTCAAAATACAACCACCTAGGCAGTTGTAATTTCTCATCATGAGTTAAGTGCAGCATGTTTCTTCAATAAATGTTACTGATTCTTCTGGATCTATAGAAACAAATACTGAAGTAGAAATTAGATGAGGAGTCGCTGTGAGTTTCCTAGTCAGCTTTAGTAATACCTGCACACAAACAATAGCCTACAGTATCTGGGCCCTTTGAAAACAGATGGTGGAGTCCTGACCACATACATGACTTGATTAGCAATCTTGACCATGACTTGCATTGTTGCAGGGTGAAGCATTCTAGAACTCACTAAGCACTCACCTTCATCTGGAGTAATTTACTGGACTTTTCTATATCATCATACAGGGATACTCACTTGAATTTGGAGCTAGTGAGTGTGAACAAGCTACTTCCTTATGCTAGAGGTAAGCACCAGGTTGGGATCCAGGACTCTAAGCCATTCAAAGTTTCTTCAACTTTGCTGAATTATTTAGCACACTTCACTTGCAGATGTGACCCTGTTCTATATAAGTGCTTTGCTTTGCAACAAGGATGGAAAGAATGCAATCAGCTCAGCAACAATGGCACATCCACAAAGGACTGCTTGAATGGCATCCTTAAACAGCTTCAGGGTGGCTCTGCTTTATAATGCTGGCAGATGAGATTGCGTATTGCTAACGTATGTGCAAACTCAATCCCGAAAGATGAAAAAAATAAGCCTTTCTAGCTCTCATCTCAGTGCCTTTTTAAATTAATTTGGAAAAATGGGAATACTTTTTTTTCCCAGTGTTTTCCTTGAAATCCTATCAACTGATGTCACTGCTATTCCAAGTCCAGCAAATTTCATTTCTATTTAACATTAGGATAGAAAGGAACATACCAACAGACCAAACACACAATGGAAGCATGCAGTAGGGTTGGACTTAATGCATGGGTATAAATGTGCACACAGAAGAGGCCAAGCATGTCACTTAAGTTAATGCGAGCAAAGGTCTGCACCAAGGGTCTAGAACATTCTAAAACAGGCCTTAAGCAAAGGAGGAAATGTAGAGGGGAAAGGAAGCTGAGAAGAATGAGCAGGAAATGGGCAAGATGACTCATCTATACTTGAACATCTGACCTGTTAGTTGGCCGTCGCCTGCAGCAGGGGCGATGCGAATGTATGGTGTTGTAAGCTGAGTCACGATTATCGCAGCTAAGGCAAAGGAGGATTCCCAGGTCAGCATGCATGAGGGAAAAAAAAGCCAGACTGAAGCTAGGCTAGCAAGAAGAATTCCCATCAGTATAGCAAACCATCTCAACTTTGTTCCGAAAACAGCGAAAAAGAAAAGAGAAAGAAAGAAAGAAAAAAAAAAAACCACGCACACACACAGAGCAAGGTTTTCATCTTCTGAATTCTCTTCTTTTAAGCCGTGTGGTCGGCTTAAGTGATGCTTTGCCTGAGACCCTGGATAGATCAACCGAAGAGAAAAAAAAGTAAGGCCACACCCCCCTCTCCACTCCGAAATGTGCATTCTGCACTGAACGGAAGGCTGACGGTTGAATCCAGTCCAAACTGACTATGGTGAGAGAGTTCCTTGCTAACCCTTCTGGCTCTTTCAATCTTATTAGGTCACTTAAAACTAGGTGGCTGTGCCACAGTGTTCCCCCTTGCCCTATAACCACCGTTGTATAGAAACCCACATTCTTTAACAAAACACGTTTTTATGTCATTTCTCGGACAACCAAGTTTCACGTAGCTTTCTATGAGGACCCCTTTTTACCATCCCCCTCCCCAAGGAATAAAATCACCTGTCTCAAGGACACAATAAAGTTCCCACTTGCCTTTGCTGTCACTGTCACAGTTAATATGTGCCCAAAGAAATACTTAAGATTTTTGAAGTGGACCACGCTGGCCTCTTGGTGTGCCTACACAGCTTAGCAGTTGTGTTTAAGCAGTTAACATTTATGACACACAGATATTGAAGAAAAAAAAATAGAAAATTAAAACATCAGTTGTAACATGATACAGCTGGAAAATGATGCAGGGAAAAAATATTGGAAAATTAAGAATAGGCTTGCATGAAAGATTACTAATTTACATGGAGCAGCTTGGGTACTATCAGAAATGTGACAGCGAATAAGGGAAATAGATCATCCACCATCTGCAGACAATTAAACCCCAAACTGCGGCTGCATAATATTTCCAGCTATCCCTCTGTACCACTCAAATGGCGCTGCTCCTTACAGCTAGACGACTATAGTGACTGAGCTGGGACAAGGCTGGAGAGCTGTTCTCACACCACCAGGGACTGCATTCTAGCTGCACCCTCTGAGATGAACAAACTATTGGGTCACAGTTTCTCAAAGCATTCCCAAGATCATTTCCCGGGCCTGACCCATGCAGCATCTTGGAAGATAGCTGTAGGTAGTTGCATACTCTAAAATGCTATTTCTGGGTCTTCTAGCAACACTGGCACCAGTTCTGGGTGCTAGATACTTGGCGTTTTTGTTTGGGCATAGACCACTGGTACACTTCTCATACATTTTGGATTACTTATAGGAACATCTGACCTGCTCTATGTTTGTTAAAAGAAAAGATGATTTAACAGAACACTTATCTATTATCAAAAAAGTGACTCCTAAGAAACAAATACACTTGGAAGTAGCTGTGAACAGCAGATATTCGTAATTCAAGAAGAATTAAAACTATAATCTGACACAAGGCCCATTTATGCAAAATGTACATTATGAGCACTGGGGAATAGCTCTCTGGTCTGTTTCCTGATTTGTAGAGTATATTTGTGATTGCTGGATTTAGTTCAGTAAAAGCATCTGACTGCTCTCAGTAGGATTAGCACTTGCTTTGACAAGTTTTATCAGAACACAGCCAAATTCAATTATTCAGGCGTCACCTGCGGCCACTCTTTCCACCAAGACAGAGCTGAGACTACTTGTGACAGAAAAGTCACATTCTGTGAAACCTAAAAAATATTTATTCTTGATTAGTTAGCTACTCAATAATTAATATTTTAATTTATCTTCAGTGTTGGAGATTAACTCAGAGTCTAGCAAGTGCAAAGAAAGTATTCTATTCTTGAGTTATATAAGTCCCAGCCTAAAATCTGTATTATCTGGTCTTGGATCCTAAAAGCTTTCTGACTCCACCTTAACATACCAGTAAGATTAATTTACAAAAGAGATTATTATTAAATTTGGCAAAATTAAGCCAGAAATTGCAATCCAATCCTTTGAAGAGAAACACTAGATGGTTATTGTGGGCTCTGCTGAAGGTGTGGATGTGCACAGGGACATAGAGACAACAAAGGCTTAGGTCTCTGAAGAGCCACTGAGGTCGCATGCAAAGTGACCTGGAATTTGCTGGACCGCTGCTTCTCATACTTCACTTTCTATGACTTATGAAGAATGAGTATGGAGACTGAGGAATTTGGGACACATGGGATTGTTGAGCTTCTTATCTTTTAGAACCTTTCAGGGGTTAAGACACTCCTGATTTATATTACGAAGACAATTTTAGATCAAGAAATGAAAATATTTCTTCACAAAATGCTGAATGTTGCAAGTGCTAAACCCATAGCCTGAGCCCGAACAATGGTGGATTAGCAGATGCAAGTGCCCTGCTCTATCTTTTGTTTGCTCCTGAAATGAATGTGAGTAATTAAAAAGAATCTTAATTAGCTTTACATCTCAACAGACATTCTTCTGGGTTCTTTTTATCAGCACACTTCCATTCTGTAGCATGATGGCCTAGAAAGGATGGCATTTCTCTGAACAAAAGAATGAAAAGAAAAAGAGTGTTGGAGAAACTTCTCCAACAGCCTAGTGATTTAAAAAAAAAAGAAAAAGAATAAGAAAACATTCACATTTCTGAATACAGTTGGAAACTGTATCAAAACAATAGAAATCCTTCAGTTTTCTCAAGGTCTCCCAGCAAAGCACATTCACATTCGGTATAAATTCAGGTCAAACAAAGCACCAAACTTACAAACAGCGAGGCATTTCCCTCATAGAACATTCACCTTAAAAACTGAATCTCAGAATAATAATTCGTTCTCCTCACGTCTAAGGGTGACAGCCTGACTTCTCTAGCTGCTTAGGAAAGAATTTAGCATGTGTTTGCCTATGCAGACTTGGCTTTGATTCCTAGCTGCCCTGTTGTTAGCGAGGGCACTGCAAGGAGAGGAAAAAGTTAACATTTATGACCTTCCCCATGCATCAAAGCCCAATTCCTAAGAAATCTCTAAACTCTTACCAGCTCAAAATCCTCACAAATTGCTATGTCTGTGTGTCTAGACTTCAGAGATTACAGACTACTCTATAGGCAACACACAGAAGGCAGCAGATAATTCTTAAAAGAAGTAGAAAACAGCAAAGCTCCAATGACCATATCATCGAGGAGAGACATAACTGCATTCCAGTATGGAAAATTTCATCTTATGGAAGATTAATATGTGCAGCTTAAGCTGGACGTTGCATCAATTAGAATGAATATGCCTCATTTAACTCAGAAGAACAATTTATTTATAAGATAGACTTTGATTTTTAAGTGTGCTTTGTCAGTTCAGGGCTGTTCATCTACAAACTCTTCTAAAGTTATGTGGGAAGGTCTAGGTTCTAACAGTTATTGTTCTTATAAAGGAGCGTACAGTACAGAAAAGTTAAAGAAAGCACATACATTATAGTTATTCAGATGTGAATCAAATGAGATTCAAAAGAACTGAACTAATAAAAATTTGAGTATGATTTATAAAACATAATAAACATTTGGAGAAATAAAGATAGTTAGAAACTCTCCTATCATCCCATGGTACATTCTGGAATTGGCAGGGTTATATGCAAATGTGGTGCAGATCCTGTTACCTGGCACCTTCTTCTAATTCAAGAGAGGAGAGTCTGTAATGCATTTATCTATAATCAACAATCAAACTAAGGTCATACCAACACAACTCTTCCCTGGATCCACAAAGTAAAGGAAGAGGCATAAAAATATGTGCAACTGTCTAAACAGGGGTGTCTGTGGTAACACACCTTAGCTTTTGTTTTCCCTGTGTCTGATTTTTATAAGTCTTTATATCTGAGATGATGAATGTCAAAATACATCTTCGGAACATGATTAAAATAATCACAGCATTAAACTTATAAATAGTATGAAATCTAGTCTTAAGAGACACCCCCTCTTACTCGACATTACAAACTAGCTCTTTGGGAAAACAAATCCACCTCCAGACCTCCTCCATGAAGACACTTGTCAGCAGTGGTTTCCTGGGAGCCTGAAGTTCTCTGTACACTCACAAGCTCACTGAGGAAAGCAGCGTGAACCATCCCATCAGCAATGTGTGGGAAAGCACACTTGTGGGGTTAGAACTCTTAAATTTCAAACATCTTTATCCCATGACACTAAAGTTATCAGATCCACCGACTTCTCTGTTTTGACCCTAACAGTTCAGATGGAACCCTGGGCTACAAAAGGATATTTTAGTGTAAAGAAGGGAAATGGTTCTCCTTGTGAAAGAGCTGACTCATCAGTTTGGGTCCCGGAAGGGAGTTACTGAAGTCATGCTGGCAGGTCTTGAAGTAACATAAAACCATGCCATGCGCCTGGAGGGAGACTGTCTCCTGAGGTGTGTACTGGACTGTGCTTTCAGGAGACAGAAGTGATATGTCAGACAGTGAATAGTAAACTGTGTTTTCCCCTTTCCCCCCGTAAAGACATTTGGATAGAGTTTGCTGCTGTGTAAATGTTTGCAAATGACTCAGAAAATATGAGTGGGGAATATTTAGCCAATCAGGTCATCTGATTGCCTAATCACCCTTTGGTGAATTGAAAAACAAATTACAATATTGATGAAATCTAGCTGATGGGAGAAAATGATCCAAATCACCATCTAATTCAATCTATTGTGAAGACAGCAAACTTGTCAGGTTTCCATATTTCCTAGGATGTTGCTTATATAATTGTTTAATGATGTGAATGAACACATTAGATTGGGCAGTGACCCAATTCTGGTAAAGAGAAGGTCAGACGATGACATTTTTATTCAAGTACCATCCATCAGATCTCTGCTGGGTGGAAAACTAGCAGGGCATTGGAAGAGGTTCTAGGGAAGGAACCTAGAAGCTGCAGGTCAACCCTTCACACAGTTAGAGGCGTGGTCCCCGTCAGTCAGTTCACCTCCATCCAAGCCCACACATTCTTCACCTTAATTATTCGAGAAGCAATTGCCTCTGTTTTCTACTTGATACAATGGTAATGAAATGGCTGAGAGGGAATATTCAAAAGGTCTTGTGAAAGGTGTGACCGTGACTGTGAACACAAGGTATTATAGATTGCCACCTGAAATGGATTTACTTTTTCAGACCACAAGGCTAAGTGGAACATAATAATGTGGTTCTCCAGAGGACTCCTCTTGAGCAGGGGCTACATACCTTAGAGTATGGTGGCTGCCTGATTCAAGGGCCTTGCAATACTATGGTAAATTATCTGCTGAAAGCATATGGCAGTTGCCAGGATATACTGAAAACCATAATTTCATTTACTACTAATCTATTATAGTGTCAATCAGGTAAGACACCATAAAAAAATAAAGTCCCTAAAAAAAAACTCTATAAACAGATTGGTGGGAATAGAAACCACAGACCCCTGTGGACAAACAAAATACCAATGGGGAGCTGAGCCTTTTACCTAAATCTTGTTACATCATGTGCAAGCAGGAAGCATTGGTTAACTCTAGATTGGCCATGGGTGTTCACAAAATAAGAATGCATGAAGAGTAGGAAAATATTCAGGAACATCTCAGCATATTCGAACTGTCTCCTAAGGTTGGACAATGTTAGTATCACGGTACTTTTATCCAAAGAACTCATCCACTGTGACCTGATTAGATCTGAATCCACAGGCCCAAGGGCACCTTCTTCTCTTCATGTCTAACGAAATCATCCAAACCTCTTTATCGCCCTCCTGGTTCCTCTGGTGGTCTGAAAGAGTGTGCTTGATGACAAGTGTTAATGTATAAGGCCTCATTTGAGTACAGCGTTTGTATGTCTCGGAGTATGTTCCCAGACACTCCTGTATATGGTGGCTGGAACATGAGGCTGAAGAGCCCCTGCCACACAAGTGCCAGGACACATGTCTGAGCCTTCTTCAGGAGGCTGGCTGTGAGGAATGTGTGCTGGGGAGGAGCTCTAGCCACAATCAGGACCAAGAAACAGAAGACCCACTGTGACATCCTCTGGCTCCTGGGTTCATCAGCGAACACAGCCCAGGCCTTACAAGGACATTACAACCACGTCACTAAAAAGTGGGTGTCATGGCAGGAGCAGCAGCCTGAACCTATAGCCTCAGCTACTCGGGAGGGCCGCTTGAGCCTAGGTGCTTGGATCTAGTCTGGGCATCATGGTGATGATCCATCTAAAAAAAGGTGTGTGTGTGTGGTATTTTGCTCCTTTACATATGAAGATTCACTGCATATATATCTACCAGTTACCATATGCTTAAATTTAAAACATGTATATTGACATCACAGAAAATTAATATTCTTAAAATTACTTTAATAAAGATAACCATTGAAAACTACTTGGGCTCTAGCAGTATAACTTATTTTAAAAGGTATCTACATGAAGCGGTATCAATTACCATAGGATCCTAATGCCTACATGCATGCATGTATGTGCATACTTGATACACATGCATAAACTTATTTTAGTAAAGTTCTCAATATATTTTCAGATGTTTTCAAACAGTACAAAATCAACTTCAGGAACACAAACAAGTAGACTATCTCAAAGTTTCAACCTACCTTTTGTGGCCACTCGGACACAGTCAATTTTGGTTTCCTGTATCAAATGAAGAGGGAGAAATTATTATCCAGATTGTATTTAAATCAAGGGAAATGTAGTTCAGTCAGTGAGCTCTACTAAGGAAACATCTCACCATGTCAAGTGTGGATTTTTCTCACTGAGGTATGACCACATATGCTTTCTGCTATGAGGATTGAGGCAGTAGACATTCTGGGCCACAAAGGGAGAAGTGATGCTTTCAATCTCTCTACCTGGTTGCCCTTGACATCCCAGCCCTGCCCCTGCTCCCTGCGCATCCCAGACATCATTGCCTCACACTGGCAAAGGTCAGTGGCCATGAGACCTGGACCTAAGCTGTGAAGCAGCGAGCGTGGGTCGGAAGCCAGAAGCATTGCCTTCCAGCTCAGGCTCGCAATCTTCTCTGCGCCCTAGGCTAGTCTGAACAGGAAAAACAGGCAATTTCAGGATTGACCCAATAATAGTTTTTTGTTTTTTCTTTGCTCCCGTCTCATCTTTCTAAAGCTCTTTTCTCTTGGAGAAAAACAAGATGCCTAATTTAGTCAGCTACAGGATGCATGAAGTCTCGGAGCTGAGGCAACGGGACAGAATATGCTTCAGAGACAGATGCTGCGCATCTCACAACATTTTAAATGAGATGAATGTATGTGTTGTAGCTACACCATTTTCGTGCAAAATAGTCAGCTAAGCAGAATGACTAGCCAACTTTCAGTAATAAGGAAATTGGAAAATAATAACTATCATGTTGACAATATGCTTTCCTAAACCACAAATAAAAAACATACATACTCATTTCCTTCCATAAGTTTCTCTTGATAAAATGATTTTTAAAAATATTTAAAAAATGTTTCTAACTGAAGCATACAAAAACGTGGCTGGTTTCTGTTTTCATGGCTGTTTCGTTTAACCCGTGTTTACATGAATAACGCCAAGAGCCTAACAACACACGGCCATCTTCCACACTTACCCCATTGGCTCTACTAGCGGCTTGGTAATAAATTCTGTAGCTTTTATGGGGGAGAAGGGGGGTGTTCCAGTAGCCATTGTATGTCTTATTGTCACCAATGGTAAAGGGCTGTGCCGCTTGGAGGCTGTCTGCAGGAAACTCTGCCGCGAAGTAGTATTGCGAGTTCAGCACGGAAGCGTTCTGGAAGTGAATCGGCACCGGGTAACACTTCAAGATCTCTGTTGTCTTCTTGGTCCTCCGAGGGCGCTCTTCCTCAACCACTATTTGATAGACACTAAAAAAAAAAACAGAGAGAAGCATCCATGATACTTCACGGTCGCCAAACCGATCTACTTGGTCTTCGATCGCCAGGAATTTGGGCACATCTGGGACAAAGAACATGGTGGCCCTTGCTCAATGCTCTTCCTTAGCCGTTCCCCATGCAAAATAACACAGTGAATCAACTAATGTGTGGGGACACATGTGCATGTGCAGGCACCTGTGTACACGCGTGTGTACACTTCTGGAGGCCAGGTATCAACCCTGGTTGCCATTCCTCATGAGTTTTCCACCTAATTTTTTGAGACAGGGCCTCTCACCAGGACCTGGGCCTGGATGGTTGTTCCTGTCTCCCCAGCACTGCTATTACAAGTGTGACTCACCTCTCCGAGCAGTTCACAGGGTGTCTCAGGGCTGGACTCAGATCTTGGTGCACATGCGGCAAGGACTTTACAGACACCCCCTCCCCCACCACACACTTATTGAGAGGAACAAAACTGAAAACTAAAAATTCACTGGACAATTTCTATTGTCATTGTCTCATGTGTAACTGAAGATCAGTTTGCTCAGAATTAACTCAGATAAATGAAATGACATTAACTCTAGGTTTGTAAAGAAAAAAAAAACTAACACACCATTCCCCTGAATTATATCTGTATAAAATGCGGGTGAAGTTTTTACATGTCACAAAACATAAGGCGAAGTGATCAATACTGACGAAGATCTTCCTTCCCATCTGTTCTTACATCCCGTGACCCTGGCCATCAGTGGAAAGAGAAGTCTAAAGAAGACTAGGGGTCAGAATCTCCTAAACTGAGGCTGCGCTATTGAAATGATCTCTAAGAGAAACCATCAACAATACCATCTGAGTTACACATAAAGACCAGATGATGTGAATGAGAGACCCCTTGTAACAGGGCACCCCTTGGAGAACCCCCAAATATTGAAGTAACTTTAGGAGAATGGAGGATCTTGAAATGATGCATTTTTGAAAAATTAAGGTATTTGTAGCCTCTAGAACGATGAACATATGAAGCAGTTTTATGAAGGGAAAAGTATTTCCTCTTGAGAAAAAATGAGTGAGTGAGTGAGAGAGAGAGAGAGAGAGAGAGAGAGAGAGAGAGAGAGAGAGAGAGAGAGAGAGAGAGAGAGAACGAACAGGTTTCACAAACCAAATCAAAATTAGATGAAAAAAAAAAAAAACCTTCCAGGCAAAGACACACCTTTTTCTTGTGGTATTAGAAAGGTATGTTGATTCCTTAGAGTAACAAGATAATCCATGAGGTGCTCAGAACAACATGATCATGAATGCTGAGGGAAGCATCCGGAGAATGCTTGCCACCCCACTTTCCTGGGGGCAGCCTCTGCTGGTCTCATCTGGTAGCCTCTGAATCTGCAGCCGGCCAATCTGTATACCTCTGGGAACACAACCACTTAACACACTCTATTACAGTCATAAAAATGCATGCTGCCATCAGCCTGCAATTCTGTCTAACTAAAAATCAATTATTTTAGAGCATTGGAGTGATGCTGTGCCTACTGGTGGTCCCAGCGGTACAGTGTGATGATGATGTAGATTCTTACCAGTGACGTAAACCAGATAAAAAAGAGAAGGGGAAGGAGTCAACTCTTCTTCACATAAAAGACTTCCCACTGGGTCTTGTTAGGTACAAGGCATTACCAAATGTCATAGATTGCCTGAGTGATAGAGGCAATATTAAAGGAAGTAGTTCTCAAGCCTTGTGTTAAAGCCAGGACACAGAGTGGAAGGCTAGAAGGCCAACCTGCATTCCTCTTTTTTTCCTGACTTCTTACACCTATAAACCTTTGTGCACACACTGATTTACAAACATATGTGAATGTCGACACATTGACACTTCTATGGTTGAGAGGGTTACCCTGCTAATGACCCATGGAGCCAGGAGAATGTGGAAGGAATACAGTGTGTACACTCGCCGCCTGTTTTCTGGGAAGCCAGCTACCAGGTAATAGGGTCAAGGAACTTGAATCTGGTGCTGACGGGACACACAGAGGTGTTCCAGTCAACAGGCAATGTCATGGGGCACACTGTGTGAGACACCTCAAAAAGCCACTTGGCTGTGCCTTCAGACGTGTGGGGGTTCTGGTAGACTCCGAGAAGGAGCATCCCAGCCCACTCTGTGCAGATCTAACAGTGCAGCACAACACAATTGTTTACAGCTTCTAAATCCGAATCAAACTGAGTAGGCAGATCTGTGTTAGCTAAAGTTTGCTTATGGTGGCTTAGCTTCCTTCCCCCACCTGTAATCCCCACCCATTGTCTGTCTTGATTCTCAAAAGAGAGAGATGTCTTAGGGTGTCTGTTGCTGCGATGAAACACCATGACCAAAAAGCAACTTGGGGAGGAAATGGTTTATCTGGCTTACACTTCAGCATTGCTGTTCATCACTGAAGGAAGTCAGAACAGGAACTCAAACAGGGCAGGATCCCAGAGGCAGGAGCTGATGCAGAGGTCATGGAGGGGTGCTGCTCACTGGCTTGCTTCCCATGGCTTGCTCAGCCTGCTTTCTAATAAAACCTAGGACCAGCAGCCCAGGGACGGCACCACCCACCATGGGCTGGGTGGGCCCTCCCCCATTGATCACTAAATGAGAAAATGTCTAACAGCTGGATCTCATGGAGGCATTTCCTCAGCTGAGGCTCCTTCCTCTGCTGACTTCAGCTTGTGTCAAGTTGACACACAAAATCAGTCAGTACAGGAAAGATGGATAGAGAAAGCATATTAACATATATATACATATATATGTATATATATATATATTGTTATCATTGTTCTATTTTTTTACTAGTTGAGTTGGTAAATGAAATTATATCATAACTGTGTATACAGGGAAAAACATAATCCACTCAGGGTCTTGTAGTAATCAAAGTTTCGGGGAGGCCACTGAAGGACTTGGAACATCTATCTCTACTGCAGATAAGTGGGTCAGGACCATCAAACAACACAATAGCAAGAGTGAGGGGTCAAGGTCAAAGTGAAATACTAAATGTCACCTGCTCTGGTGTGGAGGAAATTTAACCCAGTGTTCTCTTTAGCAAACAGCACTGAGAAAGTTTCTCCTTTTCCTTGAACAGCTTTTGTTGAGAATTGAGAAAGTGAATTGGGCTAAACTTTAATTCTACCACTGATAGTATCTGAGGTTTTAAATTAATTTGAGGGGTTCTTAGGCTTTTCTAGGAAAAAGTAGGTGGATTTCTAATGTTTATTGTGTACATTTAAAATTTTATCCACATATAACAATTGCTCTTATAAAATGGACATAATAATACTTGTGTCACAAAGGGCCTCTCCACTCAACAGAATGGATTCTAACACTATCTTCCTTCCGAATCAGCTTTTCCAGCTCATTTGTTATATGACACGATAGCCAAGGTCTCCATTTAAAGGCAGCTTCTGGAAGCATCATATACAAGATGAAGCAGAACCATGAAGACACAGCTGAAGAAAATGTGGTTGAAATCAGTTCACCTGACATCTGCTCGAGGACCCGCAGCCCACGCTTTCCTGTCTTAGTGATGTGTAACAGGTTCAGATGCCAAGTGCCAGTCTACCCAAGGGGTAGGCAGAAAGGTGACTCTACAGCTAGCCCTCTTCATCAGTTACGGGCCAAGGGATGCTTGCTGCCCTTGCTCACTCGTCCTACTGGAGGGACTCATGTGAACCACTGCCCAATACAGGATTTTTCCTGGTTCCTACAGACACAGGCATTATACAAGCTGGCTTCTATGTTCAAAAGTAAAGTGCTCTGAGTACTGTACGGAGATCCCTTCTCTTTTATTACATCAAGGGACATATATATATCCAAACCTCACTCCTTCCTCCATCTGGATTGTACCACAAACAACCTCCAGGGAGGCACTCTCCTGGACTCTGCCCTGACTTCAATAACCAGGCTGCTGCCTCCTCATTTCTCTTACATAAAACCCCTTCACATAAAAATTATTTATTTTTTTGGACATTTGTGCCACAGTGCATGTGTGCAGAGCAGAGGGACACTTGTGAGGGCCGATTCTACCATGTGGCATCAAAATTCAGGCCATTACCTTTGGTAGTAAGTGTAGTGGGTAGCCATTCCAGCTTTGACCTGGAAGTTCCAACCCCCACTGAGGCTTCGGTAATGGTCACACCTACAAGGTGGGGCTGAGAGAGGACCCTGAAGACTGGTAGCCAGACAGGAAGTATAGGCGGGACTAGCAGAGAGGAGAACTGAGGGAACAGGAAGGTGGAGAGGAGGGGATGCCAGCCTGCCGTCCAGGGAGTATCACGTAGAGGCAACAGGTAAAGCCACGGAATACGTGGCGACATATAGAGTAACAGAAATGGGCCGAGTATAAGGGTAAGAGCTAGACAATGGTAGGCCTGAGCTAATAGCAGTTTAAATAATATAAGTGTCTGTATGTTTACTTTATAAGTGGGCTATGGGACTGCTGGGGGCTTGGCGGGACCCGGTGAGAAAAACTCTAGCTACAAGTAAGTATGCAGTATGTTTCCCCTCCGAGTTATCCACAGTACTCCCCCTTTTACTGAGACAGGGCCTTGTGTATCTCAAGATGACCTCAAACTCTCTATGAAGGTGAAGATGAGGTTGAACTATGAAAGCCATTAGATGATGATGATGATGATGTGTTCCTGATAAGTGTGTGTGCAAACACACTGGCTATGGAGTGCATGTGTGTGTTGGTCTCAGGACAATTTTGTGCAATTGATTCTTCGTTTTCATTTCACATGGACTCTGGGCATCTAATTCAGGTTTCCACACTTGCATGGTAAACCCCTTTAGCCACTGAGCCATCTCAGGGGCTCCCCCTTGATTCTGAAAAGCCTATTGTGAAAAGCAAGCAGAATGCTTCTGACTTTGCATGTCTCTAAATCCTGATCCTGAATTCACCTGATACAACCAGTTTGTCTCTATCCTTTCCTTAGCCTGGGTCAGGTCTGACATTTGATGCTATTCTGCCTAACATGCGGGGCTGGGA